AGCACTGCCCAAAACTGCCAGCACCTCATTCCCTACCCTAGCAGAAGCTTGGAATGAGTGAGATTCTTAATGAGAAATCTGGGACAAAATGACTGATTCTGTGCCTTGGTCTGAAAAAAACACAGCACCGTGGGTGGAAGCAGGCTCTGATTATGTGACTTCACAACAGCCCAGAACACCTTTTGATCCATGTTTTTTTTGCCTTTTCTACCAGAATCAAAAGAACTGAGCCTCAAAGCCCCCTCATGGGCCCCAGGTCACTCAGGGGTGTGCACTAGCTCAAGACTTGGAGCTCCTCAATATTTAAATTCCTTCAATAGCAGCTTTTTTCTGTGCAGAAAACTGCCCCGCCACCCACCTGCCCTGGCACAGCTCCGCAGGAGGAACACACCAGGTTAATCCAGCCCTGCCATGTGGATCCCATCTGACCCCAAAGCACACCCCAAGCACTAATGGGATTCTCTTGGGGACATCACTCTGGAGAAAGGAACTTGTCAGTGCCTGGACTTTCCTGTCCAGTAAATCCATCCAGGGCAGTGTGCTTGAGTGGCACCCCACAGTGGAGGAGGAGAACACCCAGTGAGCTCAGGGAAGAACATGTTGGAAGGAAAGCTGAATTCACCTCACCCCAGGGAGGCTGCAGGGTAACCTAGGGCTGAGATGAGACATCTGCAGCAGTGAATTGTCAGGTGTCATGAGCCAATTCATAAAGAATCACATCTCCCTGAGAGAGCCAGACCAACGTGGCAGGAACACACACACAGCTGAGCCCAAAGTATAAAAACTGGACAATTTTACTTTACAAATTTATTTTAAAAAAGTAAATTTTGAAGGAAGCAAAGTAGGCTTCAACCTGTGTACTCCTTCCTGAGCACACAGAGACTAGGAACAGGCACCTGGATTTGGATCCAACCATACACTGCCATCACTGTGTTCAGCTTCTGCTGTGATTTCAGCGTGTTGCTGTATCACCCTGCTCAATCAGACTCCCACCTAACACCAAATACACCAAATAAGTCAACTGGATTTTACACCCTCCTCCTGTGGAACAGCTACATGAGCTTGGCCAGAGCACGCTGAACTCTGACAGCCAGGAAGGCAGCACTGTCACACACAGCCTGGAAAAACCATCCTGGCAATCAGCCCTCCTCCTTAACACTCACCCCAGATGGCTCAGACTATTTTTCCTCAGCTCTGAAATGCTGAAAACACCGTTCTAAGAACAGATTTGTGCCTTGTCTAGAGCTCCACACAATTTTCCACTCTGCCCTCATCGAGGTGTGCAGACCACAGAACTGAAAGCTCCAAGCTAAACACCCAGAATCACTGTCATCAACACTTTGGCTTCCTGCCATGAAGGACCAGGATTTGAAACAGTCCCCAAAAGTATATTAAAAAGTGAGAAGGCAAAAATGTAGTTTTACCTGTGTAGCAAGCAGTGGTTATTTATTAGAAATAAAGAACACTTACTGTTAGTGAAAATCCTTTAATACTCGTAGCCCTGATCTTCTGCACACTCGCAGCTGGACTGGTCAGACTTCCAGCAGCAGGAAACATTAATGTTCTGCATGTGGGTCACTTTCTGGGCTGTTCTTTCACCTTACAGCTCTGGAAACATTTCTGGAGCCATGGATTTCACAGCAGCCAGTCCCCAAATGAAGTGTGTCTCAAGCACACTGCACAAGGCCTGGCTTCCTGCTGCCCCAGATACAGCAATTCCTCTGGGAATGGCAAACAAGAATCTCTAAGAGGGTTTTGCTGTTAAATCTTTTCTTGTTAAGACAAGGAAGGGAAAATCTGCTTTGTGACAGTGGCACTGTGGGGAGTTCAAACCCAAGGGTCACAAAAGAGACACACTGGCAACAAGCTCCTAGCTGGAGGGGAGATTTAATCACAGCAAGTTTCCAATAGGCACCTCTTCCTCCAGAAAACAAATTTAAAAATCCCCAAAAAATCCATTGTACTTGCAGGCCCGTTGCCCTTTTTGAAGTAGAATAAACAGCAACACAGAAAATGTGTGTAGGGGCTGAAAAAACAGCCAGAAATGCAGGCTACAAACCCCTGGGGAAGGGAATTTGAGGTTGCCTCCATTTCCTACACACTGCCCTCATTATGGAGCAGAATCAACAAAACCTACACCCTCACAGGAGACACCAACACAACTGTCCAGAGGTTACTGCAAACAAGAGGCTTTCAAATAAAATACATTTTGAAAAAGCCTGAAAAGAACATTCCTTCCTCAGTTGCCAGACAAGTGCACTGAACTCAACATGTCTCCAAGATCCTAGCTTTAAAATTTGAGCCAAAATGGCTTCACTTCCTTTCCTTTCCCTTCTTCAGCAGCTTTCCAAGTATGAGAAACTCAGGTTCAACTCAAAAACCCCACTGCTGCTGTTTTAAACTAATAACATTTAAAAGGGATCCTGGTATAGGTGTCTGCTCTGACAGCCACAGCAATAAATTGAAAAACAGAAATGTAAAACTTAATTAAAAGCCAATGTTGAAAAAGTGAGCAGCTCCTGTTCCTACCTCTCTGCAGAGAGGAAAGTGGATGGGGGGAGGCAGAGTGAAACATGAAGCTCAAAGTCTTTTTGCAAGTCTCTGCATTGAAGGCAGCAGACAGGCTGTGACAGGTTAAAAACCAGGGAGGAGGGAGTGATCCCACTGAGAATGGCTTTGGACAGCACTTGGCCTCCAGTTTGTAGACACGGTGCAGATCTAGGCAGATCTTTTTCTGCTGTCACTCTGGACAGCAATTTGCTCTTTAAAAGCACCTGAACAGGTCAGAGAAGGGAATCCCTGCCCAGGAGCCCAGCAGCCTGGCCCAGCAGGAAGCAGAGCTGCAGGATTTCTGAGTCAGCCCTGCCGGGAAGTCCCTGAGTGTGCACCTGCCATTCCTCAGGTATTCCCTGCAGGCACAGCTCCACCTCTCACCCCAGGAATTGCACTGGGAGTGCCCGGGGTGGGGAACAGAGAGGTGGGAAAGAGGCAGGAAATGACAGAATGGCTTTTGGGGTGGCAGGACCAGCTCAAATCAGCTGACAGGCTCTGAGCCCAGCACTGACTCACAGACCACACTGGCCCAACCCCTGTTCTCAGAACACCCCCCAAAAAACCCTCCACCAGGAGAAAAACCCCAGCCCCATATGCAAATAAAGATCATCTTACTGGGAAAGAAATAACACCAGACATGAGAAAAGCACCAGACTTTGTCAATAAAAATAAATGCACAGACTCTGTCTTAAAGGCTCTTTGGCTAAAGAGCATTTTCTGAATTCCACTGGCAGTTCCCACAATGTTTCATCACATCCAACTCCAGTCTGGATAGCAGGAGTCAGGATGATTGACACTGGTTCGGGAAAAGAAGTGAAAATTAAGAATGCCACAGGTTTTAAGAGGCATTCACAGGACAGGCACTTCCCAAGGAGTCAGACATGAAAGGCCAATTTGCCTTAAGCACCTCAAACAATCTGCTGAGAGAAACAGCAGCAGCTTCAAAGAGCAAATACTGTCTCAGCACCACTAACAAATGTTTCTTTCTTTGCCACCAGGTGTGGAAACACTAATTAGGGCAGTTTACCAGATGTAACAGAACTTCTTTTTGAGCTGCCAGAGAAAACCTTCTTCTTTAAAAGCCTGGTCCCCGTCACTGCCTCTGAGGGGGGGCGAGGCTGCTCAGGTTTATCTCTGGAAATGAGCTCACACATTAATTATCACACACTGGGACAGACCCAGCAGTTGGGGTTTTGGGGTTATTTTTGGTTTGATTTCTTTTTCACCTCACTTGTGAGACACTGCTAGAGTTTATGCCAACAGACATCTGGACAATCTGAAAACACACCATGCTCTAGTGCTCCCAAAATGCTCCCACAAGGGTCCCCATAAAGACTTTTGAGGATACTAACCTGGACTAAGGAAAGTCTGTGGCAGATTAAAATAAATTAATTACAATAATTTATTAGATTAAAATAATTTAGGATGAATCCAGAGTGAAAAGAGAGTCCACTCAGCAGGTGCATAACAACTAGATGGAAGAAGAGGAAGAGAAATGCAAAAGTGGCTGATGATCCTTTGGGACAGGGCACAGATCTCCAGGATGGTAAAATCTAAAGCAGCTGCAGAAAGCTCCCACAATGCCAAAAGCCGAGTAAAACTGTAAGCTGGTAGGTAAAAAAAAGGAATGGAGCTGGAAGGAATGCAAAATTTGTGTTGAGCACTGCAAGGGGAAAAGGCACCCAGGCTCAGTGAGAACATCTGTGACCCAGCAGCAAAGGAGGACACTGGAATTGTCAGAGAGGGGCAAGATCCATCTCAGAGAGTCTGGTCTGAGACAGGTACGGACATTCAATGTGTCTGTGAATCAAACACCAGAGGGGAAGGAAGCGTGGCCAAGGGTCAGGAGCTCAGCGAGATCACCCACAACGGGCTGGGAGCTGCTCTGGCACAATAAAATCGGGATAAACCAGCAGGGACGGAGCAGGCCGAGCTCAAACTCAACACGGAATTAAACACTGAGACAGCTCGCAGCGGGACATGGAAATAATCTGATGCCGGTAACCACGAGGGGATTGTCCGCGACACCTTTTAGCTCCTGGCTGGCCTCAACACACTCCTCCAAAACAGCCAGCCAGCAACAAAGAAAGGCAAGCGAAGGCGGGCAAAGGCGGGCAAAGGCGAGCAAAGGCGGGCAAAGGCGAGCAGCTCCGCTCTGCCCGCGGGAACGCCGATGCGGCCGGACGCGACATTCCCGGCCTTCCGCGGAAATCCAGCCGCGCAGGAGGAGGAGATGGAGCCAGACACAGGCACGGCAATGGCACCGAACTCTCTGTTACCGGGAGGGACGGGAGCGCACCCCCCGGGCCCACCGTGACCTACGGCCGGGGGGGCCGCGGTTACCATGGCGACCGCGCCGAGCCTGGGCCCGTCCCGGGCCACATCGCCATGACAACACCAGCACCCTTCCCCACCACGGAGACCCTCCCAGACGCTTGCCCGCTCACCTGGGGGGGGCGGCGGACGCGCCCTCAGCACATCCCGGGCGGCGGAACCGGACGGGGAGCGCCGGGCACGGGCGGCGGCGGCGCTTCCGCAACCGGGCACCGCGCAGCAACGCGCCGCCCCATTGGCTGCCGCCGGCCACGTGACCGCCAGCGCCGCGCACGCGCACAGAGGCGCGCCCGTCCCCTGAGGCCACGTGGGCGGCGCCGAGCGCGGAACGCGGGCGGTAATTAAGGGAGAGGTAATCAAGGGAGGGGTAATTAAAGGAGAGTCCTTGAGCGCAGGCGCTTGGGAAGCAGGAGGTGGGGCTGGTCACGCCACTGGGTCAACTGGCCGGAAGTTTCCGTCAATCCTTCAAAGGGACAGGAGGCAGAACTGTCGTACAGTGTAAGGGCTTGATGCCGTTCATGGTTCTAATCCTGAAATTAGAAGTTCTTAAGGGGTTTTCCTTGTTATTGAAGCTCTAAAAAGTGAGATGAGGCAGGATATTTCAGTCGGAAAACACCTACAACGATTGCCTAGTCCAACTGCCTGACCAAAAGTTAAAGATCCTATTTTTATTATAGGTTCAGCTGACCTGCAGGTTGGACTAGGTGATCCCCAGAGGTCCCTCCCAACCCCAACTACTCCGCGATTATTATTAACCTTTCACTTCTATTGGGAAGGATGGATAAATATAATTGCCTGGCAAAAGATTTGCAATAGTACATCCAGGATGAAAACAATCCCCCTACTGGCTGGACAATACCCTTACCTACAGATAAATCCAAAAGTCAAATGGACTGTTCCATCTCTACCCCCAAAATGTATGATTCATCCCACACCTGTAACCCTCCCCTGAAGCATCAAGTGTCTGTGACCCCATTGGCCCAAGTCTTGTTCCAGCCCATCTTGAAGCCCCTGATAAGGAGTCTCCGAGAGGCCAGACACTCTCTTGGAACTCCCCCCTCTCAGATCTTCCCCCCTCTCCTGGAGCATCCTCTCTACCCCTTGTCTCTCCTCTCCCCCATCCCCTCAGGCCTTGCCCCGTGCTGCGTCTGGCAGCTCCAAGCAAGACCTTTCACCATCCCTAATAAACCTGATAAGGTTTATTATATAAGAGGTTTATTATTTATAAGAGCAGCCTTCAGAGATCTCTCATCTCCATTCATCAAAGCCGTCCTGGAGAACAGCATTCCCTACACACTCCCACAGTCTCCTTGCCAGCTGTTCCATTCAAATCAGATTTTCCCACCTTCCAGTTAATTTGCCCATTTTCCTGCTTTTTCATCCCGCAGAGGGGGCTCAGGGAGGCACAACAGGACCACAGAAGGGCTGGACACCACCTTTGGCAAGCTCTGCTGTCCTTCCCTGGATGATTCCACGCATTCCCCTGCTGCACTCAGAGCTGGCCAGCACAGCACTGCCAGCCTTTGGCCAGTTTTGCAGCCAGCATTAACAAAACACCTCAGATCTCACCCCAAATTCTCAGGAAGCACTGAGTGAGGTGTGGACTGGGCATTTCCTCAGCAGGGAGGTCGATGGGTCACTGCAGCCACAGATGGGTTTTGTCCCCACCCCAGCACAGGCCTGACAAGCTGGACCTTCTAATGGAAAGAGAAGAATCCAATTGTTTGAAATTGTTCTAATTCTTCTAGTTGTTCGAAGAAGAAAGCAGCAGATGTCTTTTATGCTTCTTAAATTGTTTCCTTTAATAGGAAGTGCTGCTTTACTCTACCTTGTGCTTCAGAAACAAACGTTTGCCTTCCAAAAATATACAGTGTACACATATTCTGTAGCTATAGATACAAACATTTACAAAGAAACAAGCAGGCTGGAGTGGAATAGCTTGGGAAAAAAAATCACACGAGGCCTTCCCTTCTGGCCCTCCCACAGCCAGAGCAGCCGAGCTCACCCTGCTGTAAACAGCTCGGGGCTGCTGCAAAACACCACTGAGGGACATCCAACAAACTTCCACGCACTGCAGAGGTTTGGAATTGATGTTGCCTGTTGCCATCCCCTCCTTTTGTCCCTGGGATCTGCCTCAGTATCTGCATCCCGCACCCAGCCCAGCGCTGCCCCAGGGCGCGGGCGGAGCCCAGCCAAGCTCCAAAGAGGAAAACGCGGTTCCCAGGCATTTGCTTTTTGTCTCGGAGGCTTCCCGGGACTCGGGGAAGCCGGGCCGGCCGCGGGCTAGCGGATGGGGCGGTAGGGGAAGGTCATTCCCGGGATGAAGGTCTGCACGGAGTGCGCGGAGTGCGCGGGGTGCGCGGGCAGCGCGGGGTACCCCAGGGGAGGGGTGTGGATGTGCGGGTAGAACCCCGGGGGCAGAGCCCCGTGCGTCGGCTGCTGAACTGGGCCTGAGATCACCAGCTGGAGCAGGCTGTGGAAAGAAATTCAGACAGCAGATTATTAGAGGAGCTTTTGTCGTGGCGCTAAGGACAATTCACATCCAACTCACAGCGCTGCTGAGAGCCAGGAGAACAGTGACACAGTTCTGTTCTTTACAGCTTCCAGGAGACTTTTTTTTCCTTTTCCCCCCTTTTTTTTAAAGCCCTGCTCTTTTTGCAAAAAGGCAAGAAGCAATTGAACTTAGAGGCAGGTAAAATCAGTGGGGAATTAGAGATGGGACAATTCGGGGCAGGTTTCTGGCTGGATTTCCATTTCCATTTCCTGCGCCTTTGTTCTAACACAGACTGGAAAAGATCACCCACAGGTGGGAGCACTGAAGCCCCTTTCTGTCAGGAGTCCAGGGAAGAAGTCAGCACTGTGTCACCTTCATCCTCATGCTAAAGTGCATGTGAATAAAGGCCAAATTCCACAAAGACAAACTTTTAGAGGAGATTTTGTCTCAGCAGCCCTTGAGTGTCTTGGAACATGCATCAAAGCCAACATAGCTGCAAAAAGTCTCTTACTTGTTATGTGGTAGCCTGGAGCATACAGTCCTCAAGTCATCTGAAAGAGGACACAAGATTAATAATAAGGATAAAGCAGAAATCAGAGTGGTTTTCCTCTCTGCTGTCTTTTCTAAGAAGGTCAGATTACTGAATAACCATTAATTTTACTGAATAATTACTGATTACTAAATCTGTCAATCATCTGTCATCACCATCAGTCAGCAAGAGATCCAGAACCTCTCTCAGGCTCAAAACCTTCAGGAGATAAAATGTTTCTCCATTTCACCAACTTTCCCCACCAGCCCCTTTATTGTTATATATGTTTGACATTTAAGGCAGATAAGCCTTAGGATGGATTTTGCAATACCAACACATCAACAAGAAGTAACTGAGACATAGGAAGTACAAGGTGTGACTCTGCCCAGTATCTGTTTTTTTTGGTTTTCGGTTTTTTAACCACTGCTTCTGTAAAGAATGGGTTGGGGTTTTCTTGCTGGTATCTATCAACTAGAAATTGCACCTTTTTACCACCTCCAAACTTCTGCTAAAGCAGAATAGCTAGAACCAAGGAATTTAACAACATATCCCATTGATAAAGTGTTTTCAGTAATGGCTTGAGAACAAACTCCTGCCTTTGTAGACAAACACAACCCCTAAACACTGAAATATCTGGTATTTCAGCAGCCCTTTACACTGAATTACCTTCCACAGAAAGAGCAACTGCTCAGAATGTTCCAGCTAAGACCAAATACAGCTGAAATCAGCCCTCAGATCAAAACCATCTGATTTCTGTTTGTTCTTATAACACTAAGAGTTACTTTATAAAAGATGAGGAAGAAGAACAGTGAAATTTGACCAGCAGCACTGGTTCAGCCAGGACAAAAGCATCAGATCCCTGGTTATGCAGAGGCCACTCTGTGCAGCTGTGGTCTGCACTTAATGTCCCAGCTGTTGGAGAGCTTCAAGCCCTCTGGTGTAACCTGAAATTGTCTGTTTCCAAGATAATATCACAGGAAAAGAGTCTGTGTGACTGACCCTGCCCTCTGTTGGGTCACTTCCCTTTTATCTCTCTGCATGTCTTTTGGAAAGAACTGGCTTTGGAGACAGGAAAGCCAGACAAAAGCCACGTTAGCAGTCCTTTTTTACTGAGTTTAACTGAATTTGGACAGCCTGTAATGGGGTCTCATTATAGGCGAGCTGAAGTCCCAGAAGTTTCAGTTGAAGAGGTATTATTTGCTTTTCAAATTCTTTGTCTAGCACACCCACCCAGGGGTTTATGTGCTTCATGGCCTCTCCTCCAGCAAGCAAACTCAGAGAACTTAAACTGAAGCAAAATCAAACAGTGCTTTTTAAATAGCTACAGGCAATTCTGAGGGGAACAAAGTGTCCCCATGGCAGACACCCAGATACAGCCCCTGGTGCACAGTGCAGGGCTGTGGATCAGTCCCCAGCTCTGCAAAGCCATGCCTGACTCACCCACAGCAGTGATATCTCCTTTCTTACTCTCCATCCAGCTATTTTTCCTGAACTATTTTGTCCACTATCCCTTTCTAACAGGGGCAAATTATTAATTATGCTGTAAACACCTTGATCTTTACATCCCTCACCCCAAAACTGCCTCTTACAAGTTCACCCTGGAAGAGAAGAATCCCCACAGACAACTCACCTCTGGTGCACAGGAGAGCTCCTGATGCCATGGCCACTTGCAAAGCCTGAGCCAGCCTGTCCAGAGCAAGTTCAATCTCTTTGGATGCATTGAGAGGATTGAGTTCATCAGACAGTCTGTTAATGTCCTCCACCAGAGGAACCACGTGGTCAAAGGGTACCAGCCCCAGGCGCCCATAAAGGTTTTTCTCTGTTAAATGCCCCTGGAGCATCATGAGGACCTGCAGGACACTCAGATGCAGCTTGGAATACAGCTGGTGGCAATCCCTGTCTTCTCCTGAAGCCGAGTCCTTGGCAATTTTGTTGGGAGCGTGTCCATTGGAGAGTGAGGCTTTCTTCTTCCTTTTGTAGGCCAGGGGAGCCTTGACGCACCAGCGGATGAGCCCGGTCAGCGGGGTGAGCTCCAGGAAGCCGATGGGCAGGTTGGCCGCTATGGGAGTGTTCAGGAAGGTGATGAGGATCAAGCGAGGGTCCTCAAAGATCCAGGAGACAATCAGCTCCAGCAGATCCGAGGGAGGGATGAGGTCATCTGGAGATAGGAGAGTTAATGCTGGGTAAGCTGAGCCTTGCACTGAAGCACAGGACTTTCGTTTAGGCTCTAATGAGTCTCTCAC